GGAGCAGTGGATTGGAGAAATATTAGTGGGAACTACTAACTACTATTAGGGATATTAGGTTTCAGGTCATATAGGGATAGGGATAGGGATAGGGATAGGATTTAGATAAGAATAAGAATAAGAGTTAGGGTTAATAAGCTTAGGATTAGAATAAGAATTATAAGAAGAGTTAAAGATAGTAAGTTAAAGATTAGAATATAGATTAAGAAAGAAAGAAAATATAGATAAATAGATAGAAGATTAAATAAATAAAATAGAAAATAAAGAAGGATAAGAGGAGAATTAGAAAGAATTAGAAGAAGAGGTAGAGAGAGAGAATAGAAGAATAGTTAAGGATAGTAAGTTTAGAATTAGAATAAAAATTTGAGGGAGGGTTAGAAGGAGTATTAGAGTAAGGATAAGAGAGTAGACCAGAGTTCAGAGTAGGGGAAAGGTGGATTAGAGAAAGAAAGGCGGGAACCACTAACTGCTATGGGTTAGAAATGGACGCGAAGCATAACCACTATGGGTTAGAGATGGCGCGAAGCGTAACCGCTATGGTTAGAAATGGACGCGAAGCGTAACCGCTATGGGTTAGAGATGGGCGCGAAGCATAACCGCTATCCCACAAGGGGTGGAGCACCATGGTCATGGTGCGTTTAGGGTGTGTAGCTACTGATTGCTTGGCAAACCCCAAGTCCGCGCATGGTGGGTTTACACACTTAGTGGCATGGTGTATTTAGTATTAATAGGCTGATAATGCTCAGATTTTTCCTTATATAGAGTAGCTATTTATCTTTTCACTAGTTAAATTTAAGGTCTATTAATTCATTCTTGAAGGTGTGGTGTGGTTATAAAATTACCTTATTCAACCTCTGTAATTTTGTTGGGGTATCACCCGCACCTGTATTAGATTCAGGGGTAGAGGTATTCCCATCTCTTAGAATTCATAAATAGTCATTTAAATTCATTTAATCCATCCATATTCATCCATAGTTATTATGGAAAACCAGTTATTTTGTCAGGTGCCGACCCTAGGCATACTCATTTGCCATCAATGCCAGCAGGGGGTGCGACCAGCAGAGGTGGATCAGCATCTTAAGAAGAAGCATCACCTAAAGCATGCAGTCACTAGCCAGATCATCCAGGCAATATCTCAATGGGATGATATTCAGTATGAGAGTAGTGCAATCTACATACCATATGAATTAGATCAGCCACTGCCTATATTACCATGTCAATTAAATGGCTTGCTCTGCTAGTGAGATCTACTATGCTTATTCATTGCCTCTACTATGAAATCTATGCGAAAGCACTGGCGAATAGTTCACTAGTGGTCCCAGCAGGGCCATCGCGGGCGGGTAGGCCCAAAGGAGAAGGCTAGGGGTGAGGCAGAGCTACAGCAGTCATTTCAATATGTCTCATGGCAGCAGGTGTTCCCTAGTGGTCCAGGGTCCCACTATATCTATATTCGATATCCAGATGGGGTCCCCCACCCCCATCTACCCAGGGCGTGCAGGCTGCGGTGGATGAGGTGGTGCAGGCCTGGGAGCAGGCCCAGGCCCGGGCCAAGGCCGATCAGGCCATCCAGGCCAGCCAGCTGACTGACGCGAACCCCTGGCTGCGGATGACTCGGTGGGCTGACTATCTGCAGGGCACCCAGGCCCATGACCTGCTAGCCTGCGTGGCAGCCCTGGAGGAAGATCCCCAGGATGCCACTGAGCAGCGCGTGCAGGTCATCTGGGCCACCATGGAGCAGGTTGCCTGTAAGAGCCAGCAGACAGTCCAGCATTGCGGCCAGGCCATCCGGGTGGAAGCCGTCCGGTCTGAAAAGGGCAGACCCCATACCGGCTGCTGCTGGCATACATGGATGAGGCTGCGGTCTAGAAGCATGTCCGTCCATGGCAGTAGATATTAGCATTCATTGCCCGCACGCAGGCCCCGCATGGCTGGACCAGCCCGAAATATGGGATGACCGCGCGGCAGCGCCAGAAATGGCGGCAGCTGTGGCAGCTCGCTAGCCAGGCCGCAGTTCCAGGGGACTGGGAGGACCGGGAGGACCTGGAGGACCTGGAGAACCCAGAGGACCTAGAGGTATGGGCGATGACTGCTATAGAAAAAGCATGCTTAGAATTTTGCATTGAGCTGCTCAACCAGCGCCATCGCAGCCATGAATATGAGAGTGCATTAGTATGCGCCATGGCTGTACTTGGTCAGGGTGAGGCTGGCTGGCGGGACCTAGAGAGCTACCCACTAATATTATCCCGCGTGATCAAGGTGGCCCGATTCATGGTGGTCTAGAAAGTATTATGGATGGACCTGAATCCATGGCAGATCATTCAGACCTGGATATAAAAAGACCAGAGCGCTGAATGGTGCTAGCTAGCACAGATGATCAACTTGGGGAGATTGATGAGGGATATGGTAGTGATGACCCCCCATCATTGCCACCATCATTGCCGCCATCATCCATCCATAGCAATGATCCATTGCCCGCGGTCAATATTCGCCAGAGCTGCTGACTGTTCCAGGAGCAGGTGACATGGATGATGTACTAGTTTATGATCTGTGGGACACACAGCCCCATAGAAACATTGCTAGACTGGCGCATGTATGGATTAAAGGTCTATTATAATTATACCGCGCCTGGACATGTGACATGGATGGGGAGGACTAACTGTTATATTAGCAGATGGCATTCATAATGGGGGATTTTTGGGGATTCATCCATGGATTAGTAACTGCAGTGAGGGAGATACTTGGCCATTTATGCATGTAGGATCATGTGCAGATGCCTGCCATTCCCTGGACGGCATTATATGATGATCCCAGCCAGAGCCAGGTGGGGTGGAACTTTTTGCATGACGCACGGACCCAGTGGCCGGTGGATGGGACCCACTGGATGATCAACTGGCTGCAGGCCAAGCCGGTCATGCAGCGGCATTTCCTGTGGGGGGCTGATTCTACTGCAGTACCATCCAGCAGTACTGGCAGCGCGTGGCCTAGTTCAAGGAGAAATTAGCCATTCTGGTGCATGTCACTGTGGGGCAGCCAGTGCGGGCCCTGGAGTTGTTAAGCATTTAGCATTGCAACATGGTGAACAGTCAACAGCGGAATATATATATTGAGGATGGCATGGTGACATTTGTGATGGCATATTATAAGGGGTTCCACGCTAGCAATGATGTGAAGATCATCCATTGATATGTGCCGCGGGAGGTCGGGGAGTTAGTAGTATGGTATATATGGCTGGTGATGCCATTCATTAATCAGTTAGCTGCATGGCAGGCGGCGCAGGCGGCGCAGGGAAGTCAGGCAGCGCAGGGAAGTCACGCCATGCAGGGAAGTCAGGCAGCGCAGGGAAGTCACGCCATGCAGGGAAGTCACGCCGTGCAGGGAAGTCATGCTGTGCAGGGAAGTCACGCCGTGCAGGGAAGTCACGCCGTGCAGGGAAGTCACGCCGTGCAGGGAAGCCGGGCCGCGCAGGGAAGTGACGCCGCGCAGGGGAGCCAGCCCGCGCAGGCATGGTTATAGGCCCTGACCCCGGTACTGGCCGCGAATGGTCATCCGAGCGGTTCCGGGAGCATTGAAATGGGAAACCCGCACCCAGCTAGGCACCGCCATCCATATCGCTGCATACCGGGACATCGCCATTGGCATCAGCCGCCAATTTTTGCGGCCGTCCACCGCGTTCCCCCATAATATCCAGGAGGCCAAGCCGGCCCCAGCTGCCATGGATGCTGATGCCGAGGAGGGCATGGATATTGAGCAGTGGATAGGCCATATTGCTGATTTACAGGCCACCCATTCATCACACATTGCTGGTATGGTATATGGCCATATCATGCAGGAATAGGCCGGCAGCACGGCCCACCAGCAGGAGATGTTCCAGTTATCCAGCACTGATTAGCATCAGTTTTTAGGGTTTAGCGCCCCGGGCCACCCATCCATATTAGGCAAGCGCAAACAGGCCCCGTGGGAGGATGAGGCCAAGGTCAGCCGCATGGAACGCCGCCACCAGCTAGCCACCATGGATCTGGAGGCTGCCGCGCAGCGCATGACCAGGCGGCCCGACATGCAGTTCCAGGGGGTGCAGGACCCGGCGATGCGGGCCATCCAGCGGGGTGAGAGCCCTGTGGTGGCAGTGATGCCCACTGGTGGGGGGAAGAGCATGCTGTTCATGGTGCCCGCATTCACCGCCCCCAGGGGCATCACCATTGTTATGGTGCTACTTGTCGCATTACAAGCTGATATGACCAGGCGCTGCCAGGAGCTTGGCATATTGTGTGTGCCATGGGAGAGCCGGCGGCCCCTAATGCCGCATCCATTGTGTTGGTGATGCCTGAATCCGCGGTGAGCCCCGATTTCCAGACGTTTTTGAACTGGCTGCGGTGGACCCGGTGGTTGGACTGGATCATGATTGATGAATGCCATGTGGTGTTGAATTCCCAGCATGATTTCCGGCCCCAGATGGCTCAGCTGGGCTGGTTGGTCCAGGCCCGCACCCAGATGGTATGGTTGACCGCCACGTTGCCCCCGAGTATGGAGGCCAAATTATGCCGGCGGATGAAGTATGACTGGGCCGCCATGACCATATACCGGGCCTGGACCAGCTGGCTGAACGTGGCATACTAGGTGTGGTGGCCAGACATGACTGGGGTGGGCCGGGGCCCATATCAGTGGATTAAGAGTGAGGCGGTGGTGGCATTCATTCAGGACTGCATCCGACGGGCCGCTGGGGGGAAGGTCATCATATATGCGAATATCATTGGGCAGGTGACGGCCATGGCGTGGGTGCTTGGGTGTGAGGCGTATTACAGTGAGCAGTTAGACAAGGCTGGGGTGCTGGTGTGGTTCATGGGGGCCAGCCCCGTGATCACCACCACCAGCGCGTTAGGCATGGGGGTGGACATCCCCAATATCTGCAGCATCATCCATATTAGGACCCCCGGACGTTACTGGATTACGCGCAGGAGAGTGGCCGGGCTGGGTGAGATGGACAGCGCAGTGAGGTAATCATTATCCAGCCAGCTGGGTGGGATGCCCCAGCTCCATGGATGGAGGGCGTCGCCCATGAGGACTAGGAGCGGGTTGCTGAGTATATGGGGGTGGTGGAAGGCATTAGGTGCCGCCGGGTCGTGTTAGATCAGTATTTAGACAGAGTGGTGGACGGGTATCAGCGGCGGTATTGCCAGGATGCAGATCCTGGGGAGCAGATATGTGATGGGTATAATCCCAATTAGGCAGAGCCAGAGGTGGATCCAGCCAGGGTTGGTAGCAGCCCAGTGCCGGGTGAGGCAGCCCCAGAGGCCCCATGTGAGGCAGGCAGCGAGGCAGGCAGCAAGGCAGGGAGAGAGGCACCCCAGGTCAGCCAGAGCCAGGTACCATGTGAGGCTGCTAGGGACGCTGCCAGTCCCACCCCATCTAATAAGTTATTTTGCAGCCAGCCATCCATTCTGATGGCAGTATGGCACGCCCAGCAGGCGCAGGCCCAGCAGTAGGCTGCCATGGATATCTAGCAGTAGCAGCATCAGACCCAGCAGGGTTTGGATGAGGAGATGGCCCAGGCCAAATACATGCAGTAGCAGGACCAATGTTATATATGCGCCATGCAGGGGGGTAATGGTGGCCATGAGTTATATGCATGTCATCAGCCCCACAGCCAGGCTGCACGGGCATGGATGATCCGCGTGCGTCAGCAAGTGCAATATGCCCTGTATAGCGCGTGTTTTTTGTGCGGCATGCCCCAATCCATATGCTGTAGGTGGGAGCCAGGCCATGCATGCAAATACCACGGGTTTTTGATCCCCATGGTGGCCATGATGTTATTTGGGCCATGGCAGGGCCAGATCAAGCCCATATGGCAGCGCTGGTTGCAGGGAATAGGGGTTGATGGGCAGGATGAGGCCCAGGTGGTCCAGTTTTTAGGGCAGGCACACCCCAACCACGAGGGGCACAGCCAGTTATTTACATCATTTTGTTGGTTACGGCGGTTATGTCAGGAGATCGAGGTTGATCAGCATTGATATATTTGGGAATGAATATATATTTTAGTATACCATAATGCGCAGAGATATATATTATACGGTTGGTTTATATAGTATGTTAGCTGAATCAGTGGTTTATACATATGCATATATATAATATCAACCATAGTTATGATAGATATAGGTAGTAGGTAGGGAGGGAGCAAGAGAGACAGTAGGTAGACAGTGAGGTAGGCAGTGAGGTAGATAGGAAGGTACACAGTGAGGCAGGCAGTGAGGTAAGCAGTGAAGCAGACAGGAAGACAAGCAGTAAGGCAGGCAGCAAGACAGGCAGTGAGGTAGACAGAATAGGAGGCAGAATGGGAGGCAGAAGGGCAGGTCAAATAGCAGGGAGAACAGCAGGCAGTGAGGTAGTGATCAGGATAGCAAGCAAGGTAGTATAGTAGATCATAAGGCCCCAGGAAGGTCATGCATGAGGCAGGCAGAACAGCAGGCAGAAAGTGAGACAGGTAGTGAGGTAGATAGTGAGGTTAATAGTAAGGCAGGCAGCAAGACAGCGAGGTAGACAGCAAGGTAGACAGCGAGGTAGACAGCAAGGTAGACAGCGAGGTAGACAGTGAGGTAGACAGCAAGGTAGACAGCGAGGTAGACAGCGAGGTAGACAGCAAGGTAGACAGCGAGGTAGACAGCAAGGTAGATAGTAGGTAGGCAGTAAGGCAGGCAGTGAGGTAAGCAGTGAAGCAGACAGGAAGACAGGCAGTAAGGCAGGTAGTAAGGCAGGCAGCAAGGCAGGCAGCGAGGTAAGCAGCAAGGCAGGTAGTAAGATAAGCAGTAAGGCAGGTAGTAAGGTAGGCAGTGAGGCAGGCAGTGAAGGAGGTAGTAAGGCAGGTAGTGAGGCAGGCAGCATGATAGGCAGTAAGACCAGCAGGAAGAACCCAGTAAGATAGGTAGTATAGTAGATAGTAAGGCAGGCAGTGAAGCAGGTAGTAAGGCAGGTAGTAAGGCAGGCAGCAAGACCAGCAGTGAAGCAGGCAGTAAGATAGGTAGAATAAGGCCCAGGTAGTCCAGGTGGTCCAGGGTTTTAGGTTAGTGCATCCCAACCATGAGGGGCACCGCCAGTTATTTATATTATTTTATTTAGTATAGCAGTTATATCAGGAGATCAGGTTAATCAGCATTAATATATTAATGAATGAATATATATATTTCAGGATACCATAATGCGCAGAGATATATATTATACATTTAGTTTATAGAGTATATTAGCGAATCCGTGGTTTATACGCAGGGATATATATATAAGTGACATATCAGGGAATATATATCATATTAACCATAGTTAGGAGAGAGGTAGGTAGCAAGGTAGACAGTAAGGTAGATAGTGAGGTAGATAGTGAGATAGGCAGTGAGGTAGGCAGTAAGGCAGGCAATGAGCAAGGGGGGCAGCGAGCTAGGCAGTGAGCGAGGGGGCAGTAAGCAAGACAGGCAGTGAGCAAGCCAGTTAGTGAGTGAGCTAGTAAGCGAGGCAGTGAGTGAGGGAGTCAGTGAGCAAGCTAGCTAGTGAGGCAGGCAGTGAGCAAGCCAGGCAGTGAGCGAGGGAGGCAGTGAGCAAGCCAGGCAGTGAGCAAGCCAGGCAGTGAGTGAGGGAGGCAGTGACCAAGGTAGTAAGTGAGGGAGGCAGGCAGTGAGCAAGCCAGGCAGTGAGCAAGTGAGGTAGTGAGTGAGGGAGGCAGTGAGCAAGGGAGCAAGCAAGTCAGGCATTGAGGCAGGCAGTGAGGGAGGCAGTGAACAAGCTAGGCAGTAAGTAAGGCAGGCAGTGAGTGAGGGAGGCAGGCAGTGAGCAAGTTAGGCAGTGAGCGAGCAAGGCAGTGAGTAAGGGAGTTAGTGACTGAGGTAGTGAGCAAGGCAGGCAGTGAGCAAGCCAGGCATTAAGGCAGGCAGTGAGGGAGGCAGTGAACAAGGGAGGCAGGCAGTGAGCAAGTTAGGCAGTGAGCAAGCGAGGCAGTGAGTAAGGGAGTCAGTGAGCGAGGCAGTGAGCAAGGGAGGCAGGCAGCAAGTGAGGCAGCAAGACAGGCAGCAAGACAGGCAATAAGACAGGCAGCGAGGGAGGCAGTGAGCAAGATAGTGAGTGAGATAGTAAGGGAGGCAGTGAGTGAGATAGTGAGGGAGGCAGTGAGTGAGATAGTGAGTGAGATAGTGAGGGAGGCAGTGAGACAGTAAGCTAGACAGTGAGATAGGCAGTCAGTGAGTCAGGCAGTGAGTGAGCGAGGCAGTGAACAAGCCAGTCAGTCAGCAAGCCAGTCAGTAAGTGAGCTAGCAAGCAAGGCAGTGAGTAGGGGAGTTAGTGAGCGAGCCAGCTAGTAAGGCAGGCAGTGAGCAAGCCAGTTAGTGAGCGAGGGAGGCAGTGAGCAAGGCAGGCAGTAAGCAAGCCAGGCAGTGAGCGAGCGAGGCAGTGAGTGAGGGAGCAAGTGAGTCAGGCATTAAGGTAGGCAGTGAGGGAGGCAGTGAATGAGCCAGGCAGTAAGCAAGGCAGGCAGTGAGCAAGTAAGGTAGTGAGTAAGGGAAGCACGCAGTGAGCAAGTCAGGCAGTGAGGTAGGCAGCAAGCAAGGCAGGCAGCAAGTGAGGCAGTAAGTGAGGCAGGCAGTAAGTAGGCAGTAAGACAGGCAGTGAGGTAGATAGTAAGATAGATAGTAAGGTAGACAGTAAGATAGATAGTGAGGTTAATAGTAAGGTAGATAGTGTAGTCAATAGTAAGGTAGGTAATAAGGTAGATAGTAATATAAATATCATAGTAGATAGTAAGGTTAATAGTAAGGTAAGTAGTAAGAGAGGTAGTAATATTAGTAGATTAAGATTAGTTAGCATCCATATATTAAGTAATAGATATATATTAGGAGATCAAGGTTAATTAGGATTAATATATTAAGTAAATAAATATATATATTTTAGGATACCATAATAGCAGCAGAGATATATATTATATATTTAGTTTATATAAATATCCAAATCCATGGTTTATACATCCATATATATATATATAATTAGGTATCAGGGGGATATCACCATAGTTAGGAGAGAGATAGTTAGTAAGGTAGATAATAAGATTAATAGTATAGTAGATAGTGAGGTCAACAGTAAGGTTAATAGTATAGTAGATAGTAAAGTGAATAGTAAGGTAGATAGTGAGGTAGATAGCAAGACCAGTAGTAAGATAGATAGCAAGGTTAATAGGAAGACAGGCAGCAAGAGAGGTAATAATATTAAGAGATTAAGGTTAGTTAGCATTAATATATTAGTGAATGAATATATATAAATTGGGATACCATAGTGCTCAGAGATATATATTACAGAGTTAATTATAGAGTATATTAGCTGAATCCATGGTTTATATACAGGCATATATATATATAATATTAGCCACATTCAAGAGAGAGGTAGGCAGTGAGACAGGCAGTAAGAGAGATAGTAAGGTAGCCAGCAAGGCAGGCAGTAAGGGAGGCAGTGAGTGAGGGAGGCAGGCAGCGAGCAAGTTAGGTAGTGAGTAAGTGAGGCAGTGAGTAAGGGAGTCAGTGAGCAAGATAGTAAGTAAGGTAGTGAGTGAGATAGTGAGTGAGATAGTGAGGGAGGCAGTAAGTAAGACAGTGAGGGAGGCAGTGAGTGAGATAGTGAGGGAGTGAGGCAGTGAGTAAGGCAGCAAGCAAGATAGTGAGCAAGATAGTAACATAGTGAGGGAGGCAGTAAGTGAGATAGTGAGGGAGTAAGGCAGTGAGTGAGGCAGTGAGTGAGATAGTGAGTAAGATAGTGAGGGAGGCAGTGAGTGAGGTAGTAAGTAAGATAGTGAGTAAGATAGTAAGGGAGGCAGTGAGTAAGGTAGCGAGCAAGATAGTGAGCAAGATAGTGAGTAATATAGTAAGGGAGGCAGTGAGCAAGACAGTAAGTAAGATAGTAAGTGAGATAGTGAGTGAGGTAGTAAGATAGGTAGTAAGTGAGGCAGTGAGTGAGGCAGTGACTAAGATAGTAAGTAAGGCAGGCAGTGAGCAAGTGAGGGAGGCAGCAAGACAGGCAGTAAGCAAGATAGTAAGTGAGTCAGGCAGTAAGGTAGACAGTAAGGTAGATAGTAAGGTAGACAGTAAGGTAGACAGTAAGGTAGAC